CCCAATTAAATGGTAACAAGACTGGAAAGTCTCCCCATACTCCTCCTCCCTTTGTGTAACCATGATAAAAGGTGTCTGCTTAAAGAAGTCGGGGCCTCTGGGTGTACTCCGCTGCGTCGGTTGTCGACAGAGGTCCAGGCTCAAGCATGCAATAAAGACCCTCTTGAACTTTCATCGGAATTGGCTCTTGGTGGTCTCTCGGATTGAACTTTCGGCCACTACATGATAAGATTTGATTGTTGTTGTTGTTGTTGTTTTTGAGTTGGAGTCTCACTCCATCGCCCAAACTGGAGTGCAGTGGCCACTCCTGGCCACCGCAGCCTCGACTTGCTGGGCTCCGGCGATCCTTCCGCCTCAGGCTTCCAAGTAGCTGGAACTACAGGTACGTACTACCATGCCCAGCTAATTTTTTTGATTTATTGTAGAAATGAGGTCTCGCCAAGTTGCCCAGGCGGGTCTCGAACCCACAGGCTCAGGCAATTCACTCACCTTGGCCTCCCAAAGCGCGGGATTACAGGCTGAGTCACCGAGCCCGGCCAGGTTTGATTGTTATATGTCAAAGCTATTAAACTACAACTATAAAGTTAACTTTATTTTTTTCATTCTTATTTTAAATTTCAGAAGCAAAGATTAAAAATACTGCTCTAGCTGAGCGCGGCGGCTTACATCTGTCATCCTAGCACTTTGGGAGGCAAAGGTGAGAGAGGACTGCCTTAGTTCAGGGGTTCAAGACCAGTAAACTTGGCGAGACCATATCTTTACAATAAATAAAAAATTAGCTGGACAAGGTGGCACATGCCTGGAGTTCCAGCTATTTGGAAGGTTGAGGTGGAAGGATTGCCTGAGCCCAGCAGGTCGAGGCTGTGGTGGCCATGAGGGTGCCACTGCACTCCAGCCTGGGCGACAGAGTGAAACTATGACTCAGAAAAAAAAACTCTTGGGTGCAATTTTGTGGGACCAAATCATTCCACTCCCAGAAAAAAAAAAAAAAAAAAATACTGTTCTAAATCCCAATGTGATTTCAAATATTTTAGGATAAAAAGTTTTAATAACTAATATATATTCAGGCCAGACTTAGTGGGTCACACCTACCATCCCAGCACTTTGGGAGGTGGAGGCAAGAGGACTGCCTGAGCCCAGGGGTTTGAGACCAGCCTGGGCAACTTGGCAAGACCTCATCTCTACAATAAGTCAAAAAATTGGCCGGGTATGGTGGCACGTGCCTGTAGTTCCAGTTACCTGGAAGGCTGAGGCAGAAGGATTGCCTGAGCCCAGCAGGTCGAGGCTGCGGTGGCTGTGAGCATGCCACTGCACTCCAGTCTGGGCGACAGTGAGACTACAACTCAAAACAAATAAAACAAAACTATATATTCAATGATGATTCATAGTTGAATTTTTTTAAAAACAGACAATATAAAACATTAATTTATTAAACTTTGGAAAAACAAAAAATTCTTTCCTTTTATATTAATACTTACTTATGGCCATCTAAAACTAATTTACCCAGACTGTGATTTGTGGTCATGTTTTTTTCCCTTCTCTATTGGCACAATGGAGGCAAAGACAAAAACAAACATTCTCTTTGGTTTATCAAACTTTGATAATCCAATGTGTACAATTTATTTTCAGCACTTGAGACTGGATAGCTTAAGATTTTACTATATATATATATATATATATATATATATATATATATATTTTTTTTTTTTTTAATGCAGATTTACACAGAGAACCAGAAGATTGATCTTTGGGTTCATCTTTCAAAAAATGAAAACAAACCAGCACAGTGGCTCAGCCTGTAATCCAGCACTTTGGGAGGCTGAGGCGGGAGGACTACTTGAGCCCAGGAGTTCAAGACCAGCTTGGGCAACATAGCCAAATTGTGTCTCCAAAAGAAATTTTAAAAATTAGCCAGGTGTGGTGGTGTGTACCTAAAGTCCCAGCTGCTTGGGAGGCTGAGATGGGAGGATTACCTGAGGTGACACCTGGGCGACAGAGTGAGACTGTGATTAAAAAAAAAAAAAAAATTTAAAAAGAAAGAAAACACCAATCAACACCAACTCAAATTATGTCATTATTTTACTACCAGTTTTGATAGTAAATTCTACTACAAAATATTTACAGAGCAGTGTCCTAGACACTAACTTTCCATACACTTGACAATTTAACTTCTATTAACTATTTTTTAAACTATTTTTTAATAAAATGCTTGTATTTGAAAAAAATTCTCAAGTAATTTTATTCCTCCTTTCCTTCATTTCCCCCACTTCCATTAAGAGAGTCTGTCTTATTAAGGACTAGGCTTTGGGTTTATCACACCAATGACAAAAATAGCTAGAATGTATAACCTGGATCACTTTAAAATGTTTTATAATTGGCATCCTTAATATTTAAAAATGCAAAGTGAACAAAATAAAAATTACTTTAAGATGTCCAAGGTGTTCTGAAGGATTTCGCAAGCTGACATTATGCACGTTGACTACTACAAGTTTATTCTCCCAATCAAGCACACCACATTGAACAACACCTGCTTTTTCAAGTGGCACTGCCCCAAATACCTTAAAAGTATCACTGCAGAACAACTATAATACTATAAGAAGGGGATTGGCAGTTGAGGGAAACTGTTAGGGGAGGGAGAGGCATACCTCATTAACAAGGGTACCTGCATCGTCAACGTTTGTATACCTAACCCTGAACTGTATCCCACATCTTTATAAATAAATAAATAAATAAGTATCATGGTCTACAAAGTCTCTGTTTTCCTGAAACAGTTACTTATAAACTATGGCTTTTCGTGCCTTTTGAATCTCAGGGTAAAGCAAGCTCAAAAAAGAAACAGAACCCAAAAAACCTGGCCAATTGGCAATGGGGCATCTCTGGACACGTGCCATGTAGGCATATGGCTCTAACACCAACAATTTAGATAATGTAATTTTTATTTTGTTTAAGACAGCTTGAAATCTTTTCGAGATAACAGAAGCTTTTTAAGATGTGATACTTACTGTTTCTTCAAATCCTTTCGCGTGGAAAGCCCAAGGGTTTTCAACTTGGAAGCAAATTTCAGGTGAAATGCATGCCCCTCGCAGGCCTCCAAGATGCCGACTAGCAAGCCAGCAAGTCCAGCGCTGTCGCGACTTCTTCCGCGGACACAGTTACGGGTCCTGGGGGAGGCAGGCAGGGAGGCAGGTGGGCCTCGGTCCTCTGCCAATTCACACCTGGAGGGACCGCGGGCAGCATGCTGTCGTCAAGGCAACCACCGCACTCGGTCCCCAACCCCAGGCAGCAAGTCTCCGGCGGCAGATGCGGCCCGGGTCGGGCTGCGTCCACGGCCAGCACCGACACTTGCCAAGGCCAAGGCCAAGGCCAAGGCCTGTGGGGAAATCAGCCAGGTGGTTGGGCCGCCGTCCACCTCCAGAGGCGCGGGTCCGGGGAGTCTGTGCCCTGCACCGCTCTGACTAACCACGGGCGAAGGCGTTGGCCGCGGAGCTGCCAGGGGGCGGGGCCTTGCCCGCCCCGAGCCCGCCAGCCTCCCTCGTCCTGATTGGCCAAGCCCCGTCGTCGCGAGCTAGGATTGGCTCAGCGACCGCCGCCCCTCCCCTCACCCGGGCCCGGCCGGGTAGCTC